CACCCTAAACCCTCATATTAAGCCGTAAAGGCCCTAAAGGAGCCCGTCAAGGAACCCGTAACGGAACCGCAGAAGAAACTTTTTTTTTTTTTTTACGTGCCCTTGAAGGGAGACCTTGTCAAGAAGCCCTTTCAGGAAGCCGCAAAAAGAGAGTTGTAGAAGAATTCCAAAGGCACCCGTCAATAAGCCCGAAAACCAGAGGAGCCCTTTAACGGAACCCTTAAAGGAGCCCGACAGAAGAACCCTTAGAAGGAATCCTTTCAAAGGAACCCATGAATGAAAACCCCTAAACCGTAAACTCCACACCCTAAACCCTAAACCCTACGCCCTAAAAACAGAGCCCCAAACCCCAGAGGAGCGCCCAGAGACCTTAAAAAAACCCTCAGCCCTAAACCCCAAACCCCAAATTGAACCCTAAACCCTCAACCCTAAACCCCAAATTGAGCCCTAAACCCTAAACCCTAAACCTAGGGCCCCTTTAAAGGAGCCCTTGAGAACCCGAGAGGAGCCCCAGTTCGATCGGCGCTTCCTGGCCTCTGAGCCCGGGTCTTGGGATCGGCTCGGATAGATTCGAATGGGTCCCCTTAAAGGGTTCAGGGTTTAGGGTTTGGCGTTTAGGGTTTTTTTACGGCTTAAGGGTTTTAGGGTTTAGGGTTTTTTACGGCTTAAGGGTTTTAGGGTTTAGGGTTTTTTGCGGCTTAAGGGTTTTGGGGTTTAGGGTTTAGGATTTAGGGGTTTAGGTATTTTGGGTTTAGGGGTTTAGGGGTTTAGGGCTTAGGGTTTGGGGGCTTAGGGGTTTAGGGATTTAGGGGTTTAGGGATTTAGGGGTTTAGGGGTTTAGGGGTTTAGGGGTTTAGGGATTTAGGGGTTTAGGGGTTTAGGGGGTTAGGGTTTTATTTGGGGTATAGGACCCTAAAGTGCCCTTTAACATAACCCCTTGTATAGAACCCTATGGTGCCCTTTAAGGGCTGAGGGTTTAGGGTTTAGGGTTTAGGGCTTACTTCAGGGCTTAAGGGGCTTAGTAACTGGGTGTTTTTAGTGCCTAAGTGCTTGTCCTAACTAACCCTAAACCCTAAACCCTACACCGATAGTCTCATGAGCCTTTCAGTAAGAGTCCCTTTAAGAGTTCCTTGTAAGGGCTTAGCACTCGGAGGTCCAGGCCTCTGGGGTTCTATAAGGGTCCTATAGCGGACTCTTTAAAGGGCTGCGGGTTTAAGGTGTGGGGTGTAGGGTTTACTGGCTCAGGGACTTAGTAGGCAGGGCGATAAGCAAGGTTGTACTTAGGCTAACCCCGCTTAGGGTATAGCCCCAACTAACTACAACCCTACTTACTAAGTCCTTTGAGCCCTTGAGTTCGGGTTCCTTCAGGAATTCTTTTAAGGGTTGGGTTTTGGGGTTTTGAGGGTTCCCGTTGACTCCAAGCCCTTACTGAAGAACATACCTGAAGTTATAAGACCTAAACCCTGAAGCCCTAAACCCGAAACCCTAAACCTTGAAGCTCTAAACCCTAAGCCCTAGACCCTGAAGTTTTGAGCGGGATCCTTAAGCCGACTTAAGGCATGGAGTCTTAGGAAGTTCGTGGAAGAGCTTGTAGCTTCTTTGCGGTTCCCATATGGCTTCAATACCCTAAACCCAAAACCCTAAACCCTAAACCGTTATAACTCTACACCTTGGAGAACAGGGGGAGTTGCGGAGCCAAACACTCCAAGCGCTTCTTTAAGGGCCTCTTTAGGGTTTAGGGGCTTAGGTTCTACGGATGATGATATAATTCGTGCATTACGCATAATAAAGAACATACCATAATTCCCATAGTTTAGGGTCCTTGAGGTAATGCAGGATTTATATCATCAACAGTAGGTAGGAGTCATGGTTCCGGGTCCATCTGCGCTCTTCGCACGAAAGGACCGGCACACTTGCCGCAGGGCTTTTCGGTTTAGGGTTCAGGGCTTAATCGCCGTGCTTAGTGGAGTGGCCAAGCTGTAGCACTCCCATGTGCGCTTTAACAGGCCGCCAGGTGGGACCCACGACTTAGAGGCATTTAAGCTTTTAGGGCTTCAGGGTTTTAGGGTCTGGGGCTTCAGGGTTTTTGGGGTTCAGGGTTTAGGGTAACCACAGCGGGCGTTTTGATGTGCATCTCGCAGTTTGCCCGAGTCAAGCTCGTACCTGCTGCCAAACGGAGGGAAGTGTGCCCGCATGATCATGGTGTCGTCTTCAATAAACCCTAAACCCTAAACCCTAGGGGTTTTAGGGTTTTAGGGTTGTTTAGAGGCTTCGGGGTTTAGGGTTTAGGCCTTTGCGGCCTTTAGGGTTACTCGGAGACGCAGGAGCCTAGTAAATATTGAATAGGCTTTCTTTTAACTTGTTTACGAAGATTCGGACTTCGGATTCGGAAGTGCTCGGGGGCAGGAGCATTCATGGAACTTATATCGAACAGTCTTCTTTGCTTCAAATCTGGACCCAAAGATCACGAACCCTAAGGCTAACACCTACCGACACGGAACACCCACGCCACTAAACCGAATAAGCCTTTTACCCTAAAACTGCTAAACCCCCAAACCCTGCACCCAAACCCTAAACTCTAAGCCCAAACCCCAAACCCTGTACAATAGAAGCCTAAATGCTTATCAATCTTACTCCTGCGGGTTCCTTATTATGAGGATTATAAGCATACTACAAAAACAGTACTCTAATCCTTAAGGCCCCTATATTACCCTAAACCCGGTACCCTGTACCCTAAACCCTACACCCTAAACCCTAAACCCTAAGCCTCCAAAACCCTAAACCCGCAGCACCCACGGATCCCCTCTTGAGAGAAGGCTGCGAGTTCGCGAGGATGACCGAAGCAGGCGCGGCCCCGTAGGCAAAGTCATCTGTCTACTTGGAGGGTAAGGCGACTTAGTAATTAGATATTAAGTAGAGTTATAAGTACCCTAAAAGGGATCCTATCTGGGGTTATGATATTTATAAGTCTATAAAGTAACTAGTTACTAAGTCCCCCGACCCTCCAAGTAGGGGTTTGTAGTAGGGTTTAGGGTTTACGGTTTAGGGCTTAGGCTAATGTAGGGGTGTAATCCTTCCTAGGACTGCTGCTTTGGGAAATCCCGCGCTGCGTTGAATCAGATCGGCCCCAGTATCGCCTTAAGCCCTGCTTGCAGGGCCGGGGGACTTAGTAAGCAGATATTAAGTAGAGTTATAAGTACCCTAAAAGGGATCCTAATTGGGGTTATGGTACTTAGAAGCCTATAAAATAACTAGTTACTAAGTCCCCCGACCCTCCAAGTGCGTAAGTTGCAGCATGCCTAGCTTGATTTCGGCAGCGAAGGGTGAAGTCCACTACATATGGCAGCACTTGGATGGCGATATGTGGCGGAGCCTGCCAACCTGCATTACGCGGCTTCTAGATGGCGAGTACGCGAGGTTCGTAAACCCAGGCAAGCAACGGCCCCATCGCTACTCTTCTTTCATCGTTCAAACCCTAAACCCTAAAACCTAAAGCCCTGAACCCTACACCCTAAAAAGACATGGGTCATGGAAAGCATCGTTTTCAGTTTCGGACGTATCCTTTAATTAGTTAGAAAGACTTCGGGTTAAGGTCTAGGCTTACGGTGTTAGGGTTTAGCTGTGAGAGTTTACGGTTTGGATTTTGCAGTTCAGGGTTCCGAGTTTAGACCCTAAACCCTATACCCTAAACCCTAAAGAGTGTTTAGAGCGTTTAGGGTTCGGATTGGTGTTTTTTTGTTGTTGTCTGGCCGCCGGGCTTGTGAAACACCCTGGAAGCACCCCCAAAAACCCACAGAATCGTGGGGAAATTTCAGGTAGACTACGTATCGGTTTGGGATTTAGGGTTTAGGGTGTAGGGTTTAAGGTTTAGGGTTTGGGAGTATCTTAGAACCTGTAAACTTCGAGCCCCAGTGAGCACTATGCTTATTGGAACCCAAACCTTCCAGACCGCCAAACCGTAACCCTGAATGCCTAAACCTAATTAACCCCTGTAATAACCCCTTGACGCCCCTGATCCCCCAGACCCCTAAATCCCTAAACCCCCAGACCTCTAAACCCTAAACCGTAAACCCTAAAAACCCTAAACCCTAAACCCTAATCCCTTTCCCCATAATTAGATCCGTTTAAAGGAACCCTAGGAGGCCCTAGGATCCCTATACTTAGATCCCTTTAAAGGAACCCTAGGATCCCTTTAAAGGAACCCTAAGCCGCTGAAGTGGAGGTCTCACCCTCTGATCTACGCCCTGGTGCGGGGCGCCTGCGCCAGCGACGGCGGCGTGCCGCCAGCAGCCATGGAGGCGCCAGCAAACGAGAGCTTCATGAAGGTATACAGGGTTTAGGGTTTGGGGTGCACGGTTCAGGGTTTAGGGCGCAGGGTTTAGGGTGCAGGGTTTAGGGTTTATGGTGCAGGGGTTAGCGTGTAGGGTGCAGGGTTTAGGGTGCAGGGTTTAGTTAAGATTTTAGGGATTTTAGGAAGCTACAAAACTTGCTATTTTGTAGGTCCTTGTATATACCTCAATATGGATTTTATAGGAACCTGCAAAAAAGCAGGTTCTGGTGGGTTAAGGTACTCCTTTACTAGGTTCCTGAGCAGTACCCTTTTGCCCTTTTTATGGTATGGTTCCTTCCTAATGACCGAATATTAGGAGAAAGGGTACCCCTATTCTTAAGGGGTTACTCAGGAACCTAGCTTTATTCAGGGTATTACGCCCTATAAACAACCCTGAAAATTCTTCCAAGGCCCTCAAAGGAACCATACTTTAAGGTATATTCCTGGATTAAGGGGTTTTGGGCTCTCCAGGAAAACTCGGAGACTTCTTTGTCAAGACCCGACGCCCTGATGTTAGGGTTTAAGGTTTAGAAATAGGGTAAGGCTTTCGGTTGTAAGATGAAGAGTTTTAGGTTTAGGACTTTAGGGTTTATGGATTTAGGGGTTTGGGGGTTTAGGGCTTTTGGGGGTGGAGGGTTTACTTGGAGGGTCGGGGGACTTGGTAAGTAGATATTAAGTAGAGTTATAAGTACCCTAAAGAGGGATCCTAAGTAGGGTTATGGTACTTGTAAGTCTTTAAAATATCTAGTTATAAAGTCATATACCCGCCCTTTATAGAAACGTTAGAGATCCCTTTAAAAATCCCTTCAAGGAGCCCTTTAAGGAACCCTTTAAGGAACCCTAGTTGCTAAATCCCCCGACTCTCCAAGTAGGGTTTAAGTCTAAAGGTTTGGGCCTTGGGGTTAAGGGGTTAAGATTTAGGGTCTTGGGTTTTCGATGTGGGATCGGATTAGGGGTTAAGATTTAGGGTCTTGGGTTTTCGAGGTGGGATTTAGTAAGATTTCTGGTGTAGGGGGTTTGTCGGTTTGTAGTGCCATCTGGGGTGCTCCGAACTCGAAGCTGGGGGTTTGTGGGTGGTCGGTAAAATAGTACATACACCACCATACCCCCTGTTTTAGGTTGGGGCTCTCCCTATGCAGACTGACTAGTAGGAAAAGACCCTAAGCCCTAAAACCTAAACCCTAAACCCTAAACCCTACCTCACTTTATTGGTGGTTGCCGGTGAACCTAGATAAAACTTGCATAAAGCCTTCTTTGTTCCAAAGCCATGGAACAGAAAACAGCCTACTTAAGGGCTGAAGCGACTTACAGAGGCTTGTATTTGGGGTTATAAGTGCCCTAAGTAGTGTAATCCGAATTAGAGCCCTCACATATACCCTTACCTACTGCTTCCCTTCCCTTTTTAAATAAAGCCACACCCTCCCTGAAGGCAGGTCCCTGCAACCCAGATATAAGATGCCCGAAGAACCGAAATCGGATGGAGGGTTTTGGGGTTTGGGGTTTGCCCAAATCGCAGTATGGAGGCCGCTGTATTCAACAATACACCCTTGAAGCGCATGAAAGATACCAATCCGGTTGTAAAGGATACCCAAAACCCAAAACCCTAAGCCCTAAACCCTAAGCCTTAAACCCTAAGCCCTAAACCCTAAACCCTAGGCCCTATGGTTCAGAACTGCAGACAGAAACCACTGAACTGCAGAAGCTGCAGAGCCCAAAAGCCCCAAGGCCCCCAAGCACGAAAACCCTGGTTTAGACCTAGACCCTAAACCCTAAACCCCAAACCCCAAACCCCAAACCCCTAAACCCCTAAGCCCCTAAACCCCTAAACCCCTAAACCCTAAACCCTCAGACAGAATCTCAGAGCCCCTGAAGCACCCTAAACCCTAAACCCTAAATCCTAAACCCTAAACCCTAAACCCTAAACCCTGATTGGACCCTGCACCTTGGAACACCACAGCGAGACCGATAGGCGCTGGCACGACGCTATCGGTCAAGGATTTCTTCCAAAGGGCACAAATGACGTCTGCGAGCATATCCGGATGCCAGAGGAGGGGCTGGGCAGCGGCCACCAAAGTACCAGAGGCCATCTCATCAGCCGGAGCGTACTTGAGTCCGCAGGCGGCTCTCGCGGAGGCGAGTTCGCCGGATGCGGCACCGCATGGGCGCTGCAAGCGGCCATCATGAACGACGGCAGCTACGCCGAGCTCGAGCGCGTCCTCGACGAGTACAGCGGCGAAGGCTACAGCAGCGGGGCCTGCTGCTGGCCGTTCGGAGGCGGATGCGCGGCCACCCTAAACCCTAAACCCTAAACCCTAAACCCTAAACCCAACCCCAAATGTAGACCCCTGGCCATCCTTCATACCAAAAAAAGAAGCGCACGAACAATCCTTAGTTCCCCAATACCCAACCTTTAAACTTTTTTTGGGTTCTTATAAGGGTTCCTTGAAGGGTTCCTTTAAAAGTACTATAGGGCCTTTTAAAGCTTCTGGGGTTCTTATAATTTAGTGGTAATCTGAGAGTTTAACCTTTTATTTCCTTGGCTTATTGGGGAAGTACGAATCAAACCACCAGTGGCAACGCCAGGAGCGCACGGGTGTGAGCCCAAGAGGCAGAGGAGATCGGTTTATTTGAGTCTGTCTTCGTCGAAGTTTTGTTTTTGTTTTTTGTGGGTTTCGGGAGGGGTGTGTCAGAGCTCTATAGCGCTTCTAGGGTGTTAGGGTTGAAGGTTGTAGTCCTTGGTTGTGGAGGGGGCAGAGGATGAATCGCAGTCGCCATAAACCCTAAACCCTAAACCCTAAACCCTAAACCCTAAACCCTAAACACTACATTAGGGTCCCCTATTTTTGGAACCCCCATATCCCCCCTGAAAGTCTGGTACAACAGCAGGTCCCGGCCCCACTTGGAGGGTCGGGGACTTAGTAACACGGTTTAGGGTTTAGGGTTTAGGGTCGTTATTGTATAGACTTTGTAAGTATCATGACCCCAATTAAGATCCCTTTTGGGGTACTTATAACTCTACTAGTAAACCCTAAATCCTAAACCCTACCTAAACCCCTAAACCCTAAACCCTACTACCCTCCAAGCAGGATCTGATTTGGCTTTTGTCACCAGGGATTGGTGCAATTCCAAAGTTTTTCTTCCGCAGTCTCACGAGCGAAGAGCTTCGGATTGGTACTACTTGGAGGGTCAGGGGACTTAGTAAGTAGTAACAAGTAGAGTTATAAGTACTCTAAAAGGGATCCTAATTGGGGTTATGGTACTTATAAGTCTATAAGAAACTAACTAGTTACTAAGTCCCCCGACCCTCCAAGTAAGCCCTAAACCCTAAACCACCCCATGTCCACCTTGAGGGTTCTTGCAGAGACGCTCCGCTCTGTCAGCTGCCGCCTAAAGACCAAACCCCAAACCCTAAAGCCCTAAACCCTAAAGCCCTAAACCCCTAAACCCTAACACCCTAAACCCTAAACCCTAAACCCGAAACCCTAAAACCCTAAATCCTAAACCCTAAACCTGCCGGCCTTCTCAGAAGTCCCTTGGCTGAGGCGCTTTCCCGATGCCACCCGGCCCACCCGGCCGAGGCTCAGACGTATCTCGCCCAATCTCAGGAGCGCTTCGGGGTTTAGGTTTTAGGGTTTAGGGGTTTAGGGTTTATGAGTTTAGGGGTTTAGGGTTTAGGGTTTAGGGGTTTAGGGTTTGGCGGTCTAGGGTTTAGGGGTTTAGGGTTCAGAGGTATAGGGGTTTAGGGTTTAGGGTTGAGGGGCTTAGGGTTTAGAGGTTTAGGGCTTTGGGGTTCAGCGCTTAGGGTTTATAGGGTTCCTTTAAGGGTTTAGGGTTCAGGGTTTGTGGTTAAGGATTTCGGGCGGGTTTACTTGCTGGCTCAAGGGACTTGGGAAGTAGGGCTACGTTTGGGACTACAAGTGCCTTAAGTGGGATTACTCGAATCATAGCCTTACGTGTCACCTTACTTACTACGTCCCATGAGCC